CAAATACAACATGGTTCTTGCTCTTGAGATGCTCAAAGTCTAGTCAAAGGGACAGGAGGTAAACAAATAACTCGAATAAACAAATGGCAATTAGCAATATAACTAGTGCTCTGATACAGATAATTGCAAGGCTCTGTGGGGGACAGAGGAAGAGAATTCTCACCCACCTGAACAGGTGAGGCTTCAGGACATGATTCTTGACCTGAGTCATAGGATACAAAGGATGCCAGACAGATGCCAGACAAGTGCCACACAGATGTCAAGGATAGGGGTTGGCAACTTGGATGTGGAGAGAAGGAATGGGAGGTGATTTTGGACTATGGGGCTCTGTAAGCAGGAGGGAGCATCACTGTGTCTAGGCAGAGGAGAATAGACCTTGGGTTCCCATGGAACATCATGTAGGTATTGCATGCCTATGTGTGTTTAGAGAGTGCTTCTGCAAATTGGGGAGAGGAGGCATGGCAGAATTTATGCCCAGAGATGGAGGATGGCGCAGACCAATTTGTCTACTTGGTCACTTTGTTGAAGGTATGATAGCACCATATTTCTCTTCATTCAACGTTCACCCATTCCTCTTTATTCAACGTTTTGCCACCCACATGCAGCTTTTCTATCCAGTGAAGTCTCACTCCATAGCTTCAGCAATGAGAGAGTTAACCAGCAGATTTTTGAGGTTAGACAGTTAAACTCCATCTGTGTGGTTTTTTTTTTTTTTTACATTCATAATTTCGGCATTTAAAAAACTATTGAATATGGCTTAAATGGGGTCTTTGTGTAATGGGAAATGTTTTAAGCCCCATGCTTACCAAACTTCTATAACATTGATCTGTCCCAGGAAATGGAGCCTGCTCTGCCCTCTGCAGTACAATTCATCTTAATGGGACCTTAGCTAAATGCATGACTTGGCAGCAAATAATTTGGTTAATCTAAGTACTCCCTTTACAGGATTTGCTTTTGGAGTTTTAAGGGAAATTTTCAAGCAGAAAATGGTTACTGGGATAAAATTGTTGAAATTTAGTTTGCCTTTCATGGGAAATTTGGCAGAATTTGGTTATCAAACTCCAGGTGTAGGCTGGGTAGTGTGGAGACATTGAATATTCTTGACTTCTGCTTCTGAAGAATTGGTTTCAAATATTTTCTCTTCAAATAGGTAGTGTGGACTCTTACATAAGCAGTGGTGGCCAACTCTTTCCCCTTTTTCCAAAAAAGGAATTAAAAAACAAAAAGAAATGACTGGAATTGTGCTTAATGATACTCAGGTTGGACCAGAAATGATTACTGGGTGCTACCACAGATTGTCAAATATGATTTAAAATTCCATCTTTCTGGTAATTTTCTACTTCCTGCTATTTTTCTACTTTTACTCACCACATGTTTTCATATTAATGTTGTTTTATACTCAGAACCCTCTCCTTGGGGGTTTTGCAGTTTATGGTTGAGGGAACTGATACTCAAAGAACATAAGAGACTTGGCTAAAGTTACACAGCCAGGTAGGAATAGATACAAGCTTTGAACTCAGATTTCATTCTAATACCTAACCTTTTTGGCTCCCAGACTGTACATGAAAATATGACAGATTCAGATCTGTTCAATAAATCCTGACTGAAGGCCAGAACCAGGAGAATTTCTCCTGAGGCTGAGAAAACCCAATCTCAAGTTGTTGAAAGGGTAGACCCAAGCAGTGAAGTCCAATAGTCTTCTCTGTTGGGTCTCTATGGATTAAAAACATACTTGAAAATTGAATGATTCTGTCATGGAATAAAATACAAATAATCTGGGGTCAAAAAGAATCCTCAGGAGTGTTTGGATTGTCATTTTCCAAAGGATGTTTTCTATACTCTCTGGGATAACCAGAGACATGACCACATGACACTTAGCATCTCTTTCTCTAAGAATCTCAAGACTAAAAACCTTGAGAAGGGAGGCAAATTGCTCAAGACCATGTTGGGGATAAACAAAGGGTGGGAAGGAGAAATCAGACATGTTAATTTGTTTCACAAACACGTGTTTATAGACCAGGCACCTGGCGTTGGGAGCCCACCTCTCCTTCTGAAGAGCAGTGCACACCAGTGTGGAGGCAGAGTTAGCCTATCCATAGGCTGCCCTAGGTGGGCCTCCCTGGGCATCAGTCCTTGTTGAGCCAGGAGTCCCTACACTGCTTTGCTTGCATATTTCCCAAAAAGAGTTTCAAAAAGTATGTGCTTCACTATACATTTTCAAGTTAACATCCAAAAATTTTCAAAATAAGTTTAAATGGTTGTAAATGATGCAATTTCTGGTGCTTTGTAGATCTTGACAGTTTAAAATAAAATAAAACTGTTGCACCCCTCTTTAAAAAGTTTCCAATGAAATATAAACACCATCGCTATTTGAAACCTCTATTTATCCACTCAAAAATATTATATAAAAGCTGTTTTTTTTTTTCAACGTTTATTTATTTTTGGGACAGAGAGAGACAGAGCATGAACGGGGGAGGGGCAGAGAGAGGGAGACACAGAATCGGAAACAGGCTCCAGGCTCTGAGCCATCAGCCCAGAGCCTGATGCGGGGCTCGAACTCACAGACCGCGAGATCGTGACCTGGCTGAAGTCGGACGCTTAACCGACTGCGCCACCCAGGCGCCCCTAAAAGCTGTTTTTTAAATAAGATTTTGCATCATTTCTTTTTCACCTTAGAAACATATTTCCATTTCATTTCCTCCATAAAAGTTTACCCTGATGCAATATATTTTTATGCTGAAAAGTCTCTCATTGATTACACAATGATACTATTCTGCAACAAAAAGAGGTATATAAATTTAAATGTAAATTAAAAAAATTTCCTGTCACTATAAGGCTTGGTGCTACAAGTTTCTTCTGAGTTGAATTATCATCACAAATATTATTAATATACAATCGAGCAAGACAACATACATACATTATGAGCTTTTTTAAAAATTCAAGTATGATTAACATACAGTGTTACATTAGTTTCAGGTGCACAAAATAGTGGTTCAACAATTCTATACATTTCTCAATGCTCATCAAAAAAAGTGTACTCTTAATTTCCTTTATCTATTCCATGTGTCTCCCCACTCACCTCCCCTCTGGCAACCACAAGTTGGTTCTCTGTATTTAAGAGACTGGTTTTTTTTTTTTTTTTGTCTCTTTTTTTCCTTTGTTTGTTTATTTGCTCTCTTTCTTAAATCCCATATATGATGAAACAATATGTATTTATCTTTCTCTGACTGACTCATTCACTTAGCATTTTACCCTCTAGCTCTATCCACATTGTTGCAAATGGCAAGATTTCATTCTTCTTTATGGCTGAGTAATACTCCATTGTATAAATATACCACATCTTCTTTATCCATTCATCTCTGGTTGGGCACTGGAATTGCTTCCATATCTTGGCTACCATAAATTCCACTGCAATAAGGCATACAGGGGCATAAAATCTTTTTGAATTAGTGTGTTTGTATTCTTTGGGTAAATACCCAGTAGCGGAATTACTGGATCATTCTATTTTTAATTTTTCGAAGAACCTTCAAAAGCCTCCACAATGGCTGCACCAATTTGCATTCCCACCAACAGTGCATGAGTGTTCCTTTTCTCCACATCCTCACCAACAATTATTTGCTGTGTTTTTGATTTTAGCCATTCTGATGTATGTAAAATGATATCTTATTGTGGTTTTAATTTGCATTTCTCTGATAAAAAGTGATGCTGAGCATCTTTTCATGTGTTTGTTGAATATCTATATATTTTTTTGGAAAAATGTGTATTTTTAATTGGATTATTTGGTTTTTTGGTGTTTTAGTTATATAAGCTCTTTATATATTTCGGCTATTAATCCCCAATGAAGTAATGATTAATATAAAAGTTAAAAATTATCCCAAATGTATCTCTTACAAAGATGGACGACTGGAGAGGGTATGGTGTCTGATTAAAGGAGGCTTTCTGGACATCAGTATTTCAAATATCTCCTTTTTTGGTGCCCTGGTGGTACTCGCATCACAGGGAAATGGATCACGGAAGGATGTGTGTGTGTGTGTGTGTGTGTGTGTGTGTGTGTGTATAAAGGCATGACTTTCTTCTGTCATGTGAATGAAGGATGCCTGTGAAAGCTCAGAAGAGAAAGAGAAAGTGGCTGGCAGCCTCCAGCCTCTGCCCCAGTTTGTCCTCCAAATAGTGTTAAGATTGGATATATGTGAAAGTTGGGGATCTGGAAACTGATTCCATTAAAACAATCCATGTACCATGAAGATAACACATACATCAGTTTGAAGATGCCATAAACTACTCCAAATACTTTCCAAACCTGCTTAGGAAATTGCTAACATGTTCTTGATATATCTAGATAAGACTAGTTTGCCTAGACTATTCAATATAAATACAGGCATAAATATACCTTTACTTTCAGTAGATTTTAAGAGAAAAGTGTGTTTGGGGGATATTTCATCTACAGAATCAGTTGAAGTGGATATTGTCATTGATTTATCTAGAACAAATAAAAGCTATTATATGCCACATAAATTATAAATGCTGTCAATATTACTCTATCACAAGATTGTTATGGTTACAACATACCCTCTTATGAATTAGAATCATTGAATGATTTTATGCTGATTGGAATGGGAACCAATTCAACTAATCAGAACTTGGCATATCCCTAGCACACATGGGTCACAGACACACAGAGTTGTTGATTTATACTAGTCCGTTAGTCAGGATAGGCAATGTCGCACATTGGTGATGACTTCCACATTTTGGAGACTTAGTACAATAAATGCTTCTTTTTTTAAAAACAATTTTTTTTAACGTGTATTTATTTTTGAGACAGAGAGAGACAGAGCATGAACGGGGGAGGGTCAGAGAGAGGGAGACACAGAATCTGAAACAGGCTCCAGGCTCTGAGCTGTCAGCACAGAGCCCGATGCAGGGCTCGAACTCACGGACCGCGAGATCATGACCTGAGCCGAAGTCGGCCACTCAACCGACTGAGCCACCCAGGAGCCCCAATAAATGCTTATTTCTTGCTCATTCTATATATCCAGAGGGGGGTTGTGGGAGAGGTTCTGCTGCACAAAGTCACTCAAGGATCTAGGCTGATGGATGCTTCTCAGTCTTGTAGCTGCACCATCTGGATTATGTGGCAGAAGAGAGAAATGGGAACATCGCAATGGGTCTTTCATCACCTCAAACTTGAAGCGACACATGTCATTTTTACTTACATTTCATTAGTCGGAACTAGTCCCACAGTGTGTACAGGTACAGAGTAATTGAGAAGTGCACTCTTCCATGTGCCCAGAAGGGGAGGAAAACAGAATATTATTGGAATTAAACTGTAGTAAAGTTGATATAGGTGTCAGTTCATAAGCAGCATTAATCATCTTGGAAAAAAATGATTACCAAGGGTTGGTGATAAATAATAAAACAACGAGGTTATATTCATTGCAAAAAATGATTATAGAAGCAGGACTGAACATGAGAGAAACAGAAAACTTGAATCTGTTTTGGAAAAAGGCAAAACTGGCAAACTTTGAAAGAATGAAACTTGTCTTCAAATATGACTTTTTTTTACCTAAGACCTCTCTAGTAGGTAGAGCTGGTTCTGCAGGGTCATATGAAGAGATAGTTCCAAGTCTCCTGTTGCACTTGAAAACTCTGCCAACTTCTTGACTCTACCAGTCTCCACCTGGTTACTGAATTGAAGTCATTTAGCAAGTTCATGATAGTCATCACTAGGAAGATATTCTTTTTGTGGACCATGTAAGCCCTTCAGCTTTGCTTTGTCTAAGTTGTTACCTAGATGTGTTATGGGGCATTGACCTCACTGTAATGGTGGTAATGTTCAGCTATAACTTCTCCATCTCCTGGGACTTGGAAAAATCACTTTTCAACAATTTAGAAGATAGAGTGACTAAGCCAGATCAAGCGTAATTAGTTATAGGAAATTTGGGTTTACTTTCTGAGAATGTAAATATTTGGAATTATTCTTATCTAAGTAGCTTATATTAGTATTCTTTCAGATTTAGTACAGGGAGGGGACTGCTGCAGGTTGGTCCAGGGTATCCCAATAAAAGATCCTTAGAATTTATAGTCAGAATAGAGGACCATCTTCAAAAAAGAGGTCTTAGGGAAAAAACATCCTTCTCTTGTCCAATAGGGTACTCTTCCCCCAAATGTCAGGCAAAGGGCTACCTCACCTATGTCAGATCAAGAACCCAAAATTTTCAAGGCTATGAGAACTCTAGTCTAACATGATTTGTGATCTTCTAGGGAAGCAAGGTGGAAATTAATGCCATGGAATTCTAAAAGGGATAGATGCAAAGTGACTACTCAATAAAGAATGATCCAGAGCACAGGTATGAACTGAACCATTATCCATCGGTAAGAAAGAGAAAAACCAGGTGTCAGAGAGAAAAGACATTTAATACCAGCTGAAATATCAAAGGAAAGGTGAAATTACCAACAGTGGTATTAATAGGAGGGCTGTGGATTGAACAAGAGAGTTGATAACTGATTTCTGATGGCCAGGGGGGGAAAACATGTTTTAAAGATAATAGAGAACTTAGAATGCATTTACAAAAGGATGGAGGGAGAGGAAAGAACGTTTATAAAGTTGGTTAGAAGAGGAAGGTTCTGGAAGGTTTACTGAAGAAAACACTTTACAGTTTACTTTGAAAAACATTTTCAGGGCACCTGGGTGGCTCAGTCAGTTAAGTATCCCACACTTGATTTTGGCTTAAGTCATGATCTCCCAGTTTCATGAGTTTAAGCCCTGTATCAGGCTCTACTCTGATAGTGCAGAGTCTGCTTGACATTCTCCCTCTCTCTCTGCCCTTCACCTGTTCATGCTCTGTCTCTCAAAATAAATAAATAAACTTAAAAAAATTTTTTTAAATAAAATAATAATATTGCTCCAAAAATAGTAAGATACCTAGGAATAAGCCTAACCAAAGAGGTGAAAGATCTATACTCTGAAAACTATAATACTGCTAAAAGAAATTGAATATGACACAAAGAAATGGAAAGACATTCTATGTTCATAGATTAAAAGAACAAATATTGTTAAAATGTCTATAATACCCAAGAGCACCTGGCTGGCTCAGTTGGAGGAGCATGTGACTTGATCTTGGGGTCATGAATTTGAGCTCCACATTGAGTATAAAGATTACTTAAATAAATAAAACTTTAAAAAATGTTTATACTACCCAAAGCAATCTACACATTTAATGTAATCCCCATCAAAATACCAACAGCATTTTTTCACAGAACTAGAACAAATAATTTTTTTTTTAATTTGAGAAAGAAAGAGAGAGAGCACAAGTTGGGCAGAGAGGCAGAAGGGGAGAGAAACAGAGAGAGAGAGAGAGAGAGAGAGAGAGAGAGAGAGAGAATACCAAGCAAGCTCCATGCTTAGTGCAGAGCCTGATTAGGGGCTCAATCTATCTTATGACCCTGGGATCATGACCTGAGCCAAAATCAAGAGTGGGACGCTCAACCTACTGACCCACCCAGACACCCTGAGAACAAACAATTCTAAAATATGTATAGAACCACAAAAGAACCTGAATAGCCAAAGCAATCTTGAAAAAGAAAAAGCAAAGCTGGAGGTATCACAATTCTGGACTTCAAGTTACATTACAAAGCTATAGTAGTCAAAAAAGAGTGGTACTGGCACAAAAATAGGCACATAAATCAATGGAACAGAATAGAAAACCCAGAACGAACCCACAACTCTATGGTTAATTAATCTTCAACAAAGCAGGAAAGAATATCCAATGGGAAAAATAATTTCTCTTCAACAAATGGTGTTGGGAAAACTGGATAGGAACATGCAAAAGGATGAAACTGGACGATTTTCTTATACCTCACAAAAATAAATTAAAAGTGGATTGAAGACCTAAATGTGAGACGTGAAAACTTAAAATCCTAGAAGAGAGCACAGGCAATAACTTCTCTGACATCAGCCACAGCAGCTTTTTTTCTAGATGAGTCCCCCCTGAGGCAAGGGAAACAAAAACAAAAATAAACTACTGGGATTACATAAAAATAAAAAAACTTCAAGGAGCCTGGGTGGCTCAGTTGGTTAATCATCAGATTCTTGATTTCTGCTCAGGTCATGATCTCACGGTTCATGGGTTTGAGCCCCACGTGGGGCTCCACGCTGATAGTGCAGAGCCTGCTTGGGAATCTCTCTCTCCCCCTCTCTCTTCCCCTCCCTCACTTGTTCTCTCTCAACAATAAATAAACTTTAAAAGAAAAAAAAACACAAAATAAAAAGCTTCTGCACAGCCAAGGAAACAATCAACAAAACTAAGAGGGAACTCATGGAGTGGAGAAAGATATTTGCAAATGACATATCTGATAAAGGGTTAGTACCCCAAATATATAAAGAACTTATAAAATTTAACACTCAAAAACAAATAAACCAGTTAAAAAATGGGCAGAAGACATGAACAGACACTTCTCCAAAGAAGACACATAGATGGCCAACATACACATGAAAAAATGCTCATCATCACTATCATCAGGGAAATGCAAATCAAAACTACAATGAGATATCGCTTCACACCTGTCAGAATGGCTAAAATTAACAGCACAGGAAGCAACAGGTATTGGTGAGGATTTGGAGAAAAGGAACTCTTTTGTACTATTGGTGAGAATGCAAACTGGTGCAGCCACTGTGGAAAACAGTATGGAGTTTCCTTAAAATATTAAAAATAGGGCGCCTGGGTGGCGCAGTCGGTTAAGCGTCCGACTTCAGCCAGGTCACGATCTCGCGGTCCGTGAGTTCGAGCCCCGCGTCGGGCTCTGGGCTGATGGCTCAGAGCCTGGAGCCTGTTTCCGATTCTGTGTCTCCCTCTCTCTCTGCCCCTCCCCCGTTCATGCTCTGTCTCTCTCTGTCCCAAAAAATAAATAAACGTTGAAAAAAATTTAAAAAAATATTAAAAATAGAATTACCCTAGCGGTGGCTGGATGGCTTAGTCAGTTAAGTGTCTGACCCTTGATTTAAACTCAGGTCATGATCTCATGGTTGGAGGTTCAAGCCCCGCATCAGGCTCTGCGCTGACAGTGCAGAGCCTGCTTGAGATCCTCTCACTCCCTCTCTCTCTGCCCCTCCCCTGCTTGCGCTCTGTCTCTCTCAAAATAGATAAATAAACTTGAAAAAAAAAACAAAAAGCAGAACTACCCTACAATCCAGTGATCATACTACTGGGTATTTACCCAAAGAATAAAAAAAAACACTAATTCAAAGGGATACATGCACGCCTATGTTTACAGCAGCATCTACAATAGCCAAGATATGGAAGCAGTCCAAGTGTCCATCGATTGATGAATGGATAAAGGAGATGTGATACGTATATACAATGGAATATTATTCAGCCATAAAAGGAATGAAATCTCGCCATTTGCAAAGACATGGATAGAGCTATTGAGTATTATGCTAAGTGAAATAAGTCAGTCAGAGAAAGACAAATACCATATGATTTTATTCATATGTGGAATTTAAGAAGCAAAACAAGCAAAGGGAGAAAACAAGAGAGAGAATCAAGAAACAGACTCTTTTTTAAAAAAATATTTATTTTTGAAAGAGACAGAGCTTGAGCAGGGGAGGGGCAGAGAGAGAGGGAGACACAGAATCCAAAGCACATTCAGGCTCTGAGCTGTCAGCACAGAGCATAATGTGGGGCTCAGACCCACCAAGGGTGAGATTATGACCTGAGCCAAAGCCAGATGTTTAACCAAATGAGCCATCCAGTAGGAAACAGACTCTTAACTACAGAGGACTGATGTGTTCCAGAGGGGAGGTGGAGCAGGGTAGGTGAAATAGGTGGTGGAGATTAAGGAATATACTTATGATGAGCACCAAGTGATGTAAAGAAGTGTTGAATCACTATATTGTACACCTGAAACTAATATTACACTGTACATTAAATAACTGGAATTAAAATGGAAAGTTAAGGGGCTCCTGCATGGCTCAGTTGGTTGAATGTCTGACTCTTGATCTTGGCTCAGGTCGTGATCTCAGTAGCTCTGCACTGAGCATGGAGCCTGCCTGGGATTCTCTCTCTCTCTCTCTCTCTCTCTCTCTCTCTCTCTCTCTCTCTCT